TGTTGTTTCTGCACTCAATGCCTGAGGTAATCTGATGCTGGAGCCCAGTGACCTTCTCCAGGCATGTTTAGATGTAGGCAGGAAGTTCTCTCATCAGATAACAGAACAACACAGCTGGAAGGGACCTTGGAGGTCTTCTAGTCCAACCCCCTCCTCCAGCAGGAGACCCTCTATGATTCCAGAAAGTGGGAATATGCTGCGTCTGGAGGAGTTGGGAGTCTCTTTATTGGCTTCTGTGTTATGTTCTGCTTTTATTAGTGTGAGGTTGTATAAATGTAATGCATGTCTACATGCCCCTGGCTAGCACCTGTTATTCGGTAGAATACGCCTAATATTTTTATCATCATTTTTGAGCAAAGAGAAGGGCTGAGTTTAATAAGCAGTGAAAGAACTGCTATACATTATTCTCTGAAGCTCAATAGACCCTTTGACTTGATAAGCCTGTCTATGGAGGGCTTAAAGGCACAAAGACTGACTCTTTTTGGTGGGCTTTGGGCTTGTAAGGAACTGGCTCAGTTGGTCCCTCAACAAAGGAAGACTCTGAATCCATCCAGTTGGATCAAAAGAAGTTTTATGGAGCAACAGTGATTGCAGGAGAACCAGGCGAACTCTGAAAAGGCCATGCAGACCAGTCGTCTCTGGGTGACTGTGAAAATTTTAGGCATAATACAGGTAGTCCTTGACTTACAACAGTTCATTTAATGACCGTTCAAAGTTACAACGGCACTGAAAAAAAGGATTATGACCATTTTTCACATTTACAGCCGTTGCGGGATCCCCATGGTCAGGTGATCAAAAATTGCAATGCCTAGCAACTGACTCATTTATGACGGTGGCAGTGCCTGGGGAGGGTCACGTGATCCGCTTTTGTGACCTGACGAACAAAGTCAATGGGGAAGCCAGGGTCGCTTAACAACTGTGTTACCGACTTAATGACTGCAGGGATTCACTTAGCAACAGTGGCAAGAAAGGTCGTAAAATGGGGCAAAATTCACTTAACAAATGTCTAACTTAGCAACAGAAATTGTCCAGTGGTACATCGCGTGATCCTCGGTTCTACATCCACGCCGGTTGCCAAGTGCCTGAAGTTCTGATTATGTGGCCTGTGAGGATGCTGTGATGGTTGTAACTGCGAGGACTGGCTATAAGTCCCTTCTTTCAATGCTGTTGCAACTTTGAATAATGATTCTCAGTCGAGGATAACCTGCGGCAGGTAAAATGAACCTGGCACCCTTTGGTAGGCTGGCTTACTACCCCGATGGTCAGCCAGAGGTACCCCCAAGCCCACCCACCCCCACCAGTAGATATCCCCCTCCCTAAATTACCAAGCAGTTACAGCAAAGCAAAAAAGCAAGCAAAATTGCCAGCAAACACCCCCCCCCTTCCCAAGAATGGTTGAAATGAGTCCTTGGTGCTCTCTGAGCTTGCTTCTTTTCTGGCAGACTTTTCATTACCCAGCTAGGTAACGTCATCAGTGCTATAAGGAGTGCTGTTTGCTGTTGGTTTATATTCTGGGGCCTTGCCTCTCTCGGGAGGGCGATCTTAGGGATTTGTTGCTTGGGCTGTTTACTAATGGTGCTTTGAAGGCCCCAACTGCCATCCTTACTGTGGGAGCTGCCAAAGCCTTCTGGGTTCTTGAGATGGAATTAGATCAGAGCAGCAGCTCAGCTATCGGCCATCAGGGGGCAGCAAAGGACAGGACTTTGCGCCATCTGTTGGATCTCGAGAGTCCAGCAGCCCTGAGATGCTCATCCCCAGGTTTTCTCTGCAGGGCCATTCCTAACCGGCCTTCCTGCCAAGGAGGTGGGGCACTGGCATTTCCCAGATTAACGCCTCACAACCACCTGGCCAGGTAGACTGGCCAACATTCTCTAGAGTTCGAGATATCCTGGCCAGCCCAGTAAATTGTGTGATTCGATTCACACAAGAGTATTCTCTCTATAGAATCTAATACCCACATTCACATTTGATAAGTGTGGGAGTGTTGAGACAAGTTGGATTTCTGGGCCTGGGCCTATTGTCCATTACTTCATTACTTCCTGCCTGAGTTCCACCTGGCCTCTCAGTTCCCCCCCCCCCCCCCGGGCAATCCTGGTTCCAGCTGAAACCCTTCCTGAAGGAGAAGAAGGAGCCAAAAACGATAAAAATAGAGATTGCGGACAGAAAATAGAGACCAAGGATTCTTCCACCTGGTTCTACTCCAGTCAACCACCACCATAAATACTGTACCCAGTTTGAGCCCCTCGAATGCTTTACACACGTTTCAGAGAAGAACAAGGTGAATGATCGAGTACACCTGTTGCAGCAAAAGTAGGGGCACCTTTTTACCAAATAATCTCAATTTACTGTGAAATCGATTGAAGCTGATGCAACGGAATGGCATCCACAATTTGTTCTAGCGTAATGCATTGGGTGTAAATTTTGATTTATGACTAACATTCTTCTAAATAAAGAAAATGACATGGACAAAATCACTGCATGTAGCCTTTGTAGATTTTAATCTTACATTTGACTCCATTTGAGAGAAATCTTGATGAACCTGGAGAATACAGTACAAACGGATGTTGCTTTTTCTCACTCAGCATTTGTATGAAATGTGCTAACCATCCTGGTACCTCTTCAGAAGTCTCACAGGGCTGTATTTAGACCTCCACCTTCTTTAAGTTGTACCTCCACTCCTCAACAGGTCATGTGACCGTCTCCTCCTTACACCTGCCTGAATCCGTGGACCCAGATGTACAGGTAGTCCTCGAGTTACGAATGGAACGGAGCGTGCCCATTCCATTCATAACTCCAGGATTCGTGAATCTTGTACCTCGAATGAGATCATCTTCGTTAAGTGCACATGAGGTATCTCACTGTGGGAAAGGCCATAGAGGGCTTAGTGAAAAAACAGGCTCCCCAGGGCTCATGCTTCCCCCTCCCTTACTCCCTCGCCATACTCACCTTGCAAAATCCGTGTCCTCTCTGCCTCGGTTTCTTTCTTGGGATTGCTTTTCGCACCAACAATGGAAGCCGCAGGATGCTGTAACACCGTGGGAATTCAAACACAAATTCTCTGCAAAAGAGACCATGGTCCCCGGAAGCTTCCATCTAGGCGGAGTTTCAAAACGCAGCGAATCCCAGCGTTGTGAACAGCCCCACAGCGGCGCAAACACTTTTTATCCAAAGGAGACCTGAGAGAGGTTGGAAAGTCGCTGTGATTGCCAGTGGAGCACTTTAGAAACGCAGCGTTCCTTTCCTTTTCTGAAGCACTCCATTGGCAATACACGGCCTTTCCAATCTCTCTCAGGTCTCCGTTTGGATAAAAAATGATTAAGCGGCAGCCGGCTTGAGTTTCCCCGCTCCGTCCGAGTGGAAAGCAGAGGCGCAGAGCGGGATTGCTCTCAATAAGGCCGGGGCATACGAGTGAGCAGCGCACCCGCATCCTCTTGAGAGCAATTCTGCGTTTCCGCTTTCTTCTTTTCGGACGGAGCGGAGAAACGTAGGTTGCTGCCGCTGCTTGAGCAGGGAGCACGACAAGAAGAGCGATCAGAGAAGGAGTACAATACGTCGGGTGGGGTGGGTGGCTGGCTGGAGAGGGGAGAGCATGGCCTCTCAAGTGGCTGTTACCGCCGCTGGGAGCTTGGTGCCAGGGGGCTCACCCCGGGATGCATCCCTGCTCAGTTGAAGGCCTCAAACTAAGGTGGTGCCTGCGAGCGACAGCACTGCACCCGGGCCACGGATGGCATTATTTCCTGTGCCTGGCTGACTCCAATTCCACGTTTTGCCCCATAGGCATGCAAATGAGGCAAACACTTCTCCCCCCCCCTCTCAGAATGGAAGCTTCCGGGCACCATGATCTCTTTTGCAGAGAATTTGTGTTTGAACTTGTGCGATATTACGGCACCCAGGAGCTTCCATTGTCGGCATGAAGAGCATTTCCAAGCTGACTCTCCTCTCACAAAGGGAAAGAAACCGCGGCAGAGAGGACACAGAGTTTGCAAGGCGAGTCCAGTCTGTCAGGAAGGGAGGGGGAAGAAGTTGTGAGGAGTGGGGGGGGAATAGGGTGATGTTGCAGAGCCTATGCAGTCATTCGTAAGGGTGAACAACTGTTGTACTGCAATGTTCGTAATTTTTGGACTTGCTGGTAAACATTAGGGGGCACTGATCGCGTAACTTCGAACAAGCAATAAGTGAACGATCATAACTCCGGATTGCCTGTACTTCTCCTATATCAGTGATAGTGAACCTTTTAGAGACTGAGTGCCCAAACCACAACCCAAAACCCACTTATTTATCGCAAAGCGCCAGGACCGCATCAGCATTGTGATGCCCGGGGGAGGGTGGCAGGGAGTCACCTCTAGTGCCATCTCTTGACACGCAAAAACTGGTGGGAAAAAAATGGGCCACCGTGCTGCAAGGCGCAAAAACAGCCGCCGCCACACCATGGGGTGCAGATACAAGGCGCTGCACCACGGAAGAACGGGGCAGGGCTAGTGGGTATCATGCAGGCACTAGCCCTGCCCCATTTGCAGCACATAATTGCTTGCGGCCCCATGCGCGCATGGAAACTGATCAAAGAGAGAAGCAACCTGGAATTAAGGAGAAACTTCCTGACAGTGAGGAGAATTAACCAGATTTTTAAAAAGAGGGTAGACAGTCACTTCTCTGAGATGGTATAGGTTCTCCTACTTGAGCAGGGGGTTGGACTAGAAGACCTCCAAGGTCCCTTCCAGATTCTATTCTATTCTTATTCTATTCTAGTGGCTAGGGAGACCTGTACCTGTATCTCAAAAACTTTTGTTGGCCTTAGAAAGTCTCGTTTCTGTTAAAAAGTTTTAAAGACTAGGGGACCATTGAGAGCATCCAATTTACAAGAGTTTCAGATATCTGGGGATGGTCTTAGATGGCGCTGACCTTTGGAAAACCCATTTAGATTATATCAAACAATGACAGTGAAGGCCGAATAAGCCCTAGTGTCAGGTCCTGCCAGTTCCTGCCATCTGGAGGGGCATTTGGGGGGGTGGACAAATGGACAATATGATTGTGTGTACATGATAGGAAATAGGGAGGGGGGAAATGACAGGTGATGAAGACCATAGAAGCCCAGAATTGGTTTGTAGTAGAGACACCTTTTGCTTCAATCTGATGAAGTCAAGGGTTTTTCTTTCCTAAGGGACCCAGTTGGGGCAGGTCAGACACCTAGATTCTGCCACGGCACACTTGTTCAAATTAGGCAGAGTTAGAAGATCTTTTAAAGGCAACTGATTAAAGTAATCTAACAAAGAGGTTTCCCCTAATGAAAAGAGGAGTCCAGGACACATTCAGTAGAAAAAGTACAAAAGAATACTTGATTGGATGGAAGAAATGTTACATCAGAAACATGGACAGTAAGATAAACATCCCATAATATTAAGCATAACTATTTGAAAGCGCATTTTATTTAAAGGAGAACATTTGCATGGGAAAAGGCATGACGTGTCACATAAAAACGAACAGTGATATTTTATTCACTTGAAAAGGCAAAGCCATAATCCAGCAGGGCAGTTGGGGAGGATGAGTTGGAATGTTGGCTGAGAACTGTTGCCAGATGGGCTGTTTTTCTACCTGACTGATTAGTTTTGGATGTTTCTTGCAGGAAAGCTGGGGCCTTGGTGGGTTCATTGGGGGGGGGGAGGCTGTTTTGGCCTATTTTTAAGGGGGTTAAGTTTTAGAGCAGTATATCAAACTATCATGAAGGATATCTGCAAAATACATTGCAGAAGCAGGCAGGGCTGGGTCAGCCGTCCAAACGTCCTGCCGTCAAATGTCTAGGAGAGGGGGGGAAATGGGCAAGAAACCTGCTGTGGGAATTAGTGGCGGGAGGGAATGATAGCTAAGGAAGAGCAGATCAACATGGAACCAGTTTGTGCCATGCATCTTCAAGGGCGTTTACAAGTATCATGACTGAAGGTCTTTCCACACTCAGGCATATTTAGCGTTTTCCCCCTATGGGAATCTTTTGATGTCAATGAAGGTGTACAATGTCGGTAAAGCTCTTTCCACACTCAAGGCGTTTCTACGGTTTTTCTAATGAATGGATTCTTTGACGCTTAGAAAGCCTTCCCTTCTCACAGAAACTCTTTCCACACTCCAGACATTTCTGTGGTTTTTCTCCAGTGTGGATCCTTTGATGGGTATAAAGGTGTCCCCTCTGACTGAAGCTCTTTCCACACTCCAAGCATTCTTATGGTTTTTGTCCTGTATGGATCCTTTGATGTGCATAAAGGTGTTCCCTCTTACTGAAGCTCTTTCCACACTCAGGGCATTTATGTAGTTTCTCATCTGTGTGGATCCTTTGATGTTTATAAAGGTTTCCCCTCAGACTGAAGCTCTTTCCACATTCCAGGCATTTAAATGGTTTCTCTCCTGAGTGGATCCTTTGATGTATATAAAGGTTTTCCCTCCGATTGAAGCTCTTTCCACATTCCAGGCATTTAAATGGTTTCTCTCCTGAGTGGATCCTTTGATGGGTATAAAGGCTGCTCCTCTGACTGAATCTCTTTCCACACTCCAGGCATTTATGCAGTTTTTCTCCTGTGTGGATCCTTTGATGTCTATAAAGGTGTCCCCTCCGATTGAAGCTCTTTCCACACTCCAGGCATTTAAATGGTTTCTCTCCTGTGTGGATTCTTAGATGGTTTTCAAGATCTCTATTTCTTCTGAAGGATTTTCCACATTCCGGGGACTGATATTTCTTTTCTCCCTCCTGGATTCTCTGGGGATTCCCGGGTCTTTCTCCTGTGTGAATCCTTTGATGTATATAAAGGTGTCCCCTCTGACTGAAACTCTTTCCACACTCCAGGCATTTATGTGGCTTTTCTCCTGAGTGGATTCTTTGATGTGTATAAAGGTTGCTGCTCCGACTGAAACTCTTTCCACACTCCAGGCATTTATACGGTTTCTCTCCTGAGTGGATCCTTTGATGGGTATAAAGGCTTCCCCTCTGAGTGAAGCTCTTTCCACACTCAAAGCATTTATATGGTTTTTCTCCTGAGTGGATCCTTTGATGTAAATAAAGGCTGCTGCTCTGACTGAAGCTCTTTCCACACTCCAGGCATTTATACGGTTTCTCTCCTGAGTGGATCCTTTGATGGTTTACAAGATCTCCATTTCTTTTGAAGGATTTTCCACATTCCGGGAAAAGGCGGGTCACGGCTCCGTCCCTTTCCCGAGGGGCCCCAGACGCTTCCCGGGGAGGAAGGCCGAAGCCTCCGCCTGTCACGGACCAGGCCCCTCCCTCCTTCTCCCTCCCTTAGAGACCATCTTTGACTGCGTCTCCCAGCATCCCCTGCGCCAAACCTGCAGGCCGGCTCCTCCCTCGCCGATTCCGGAAGCTAGCTCGTTGCCCGTTTTGTTTCCGAAAGTGGAGGCGGGACTTATTTTCGCGTCTTTCCCCTAGAAACTCTGCCTGTTCCTCTGGGCTAAAGACCGCCCCAAGGGGGCTCCCTGCCAATCGCCGCCCTCCCCCGAGCGACCAATCGGAGTCCTCCTTCCTCAGCCAGGCAGATGGCGCCTGCGCGGTGCTGCGGGGCGTCCTGCTCCCGGCGCGGAGGGGAGGGCCTCCGCTTGAACTTTGGGGTCCGCTCTTCCCCCCCGCCCCGCATCCAGGCAGGCGCAGCTGGGGGGCCCTTCCGGGGTTGCGTCTCCGCCCCTCCCTCACCCGGGTTCTCTCCCTTGGCAGGGCGGGGGTGGGGGAACTGGGGGGACGCTTCCCCCCTTCGCCCTCCTGGGGGGCTCTGGCCAGGCCTCCAGGCAGCCGGGCCTCCTCTCTGCGTTTCCCGGGCCCCCTACTGTCGCCCCCCGCCCCCCTTTCCCGCCTCCTCCCCGAGACCCCTTTGTCAGACTGCAGCGGGGGGGGGAGTCCTCTCCAGGACGCCCCTGGAACGCTGGCTGCGGAATTCTGGGAGTTGAAGTCCAGGAGTGATAAAAAGGCCGAGTTTGAAGACCCCTGGGCCAGATACACCTAGTTTCCACAAGCGTTCATCATACGATTTAGCCTCAGATCCCTGATCGTCTTTGTTGCTGCTGGGAGACTTTGGGCCAATCGCTCGCTCTCTCTCAGCCCAACCCGTCTCACCCGGTGGTGGTTGCGGGGAAAATAGGAGGAGGGAGATGAGTTGGGTCCCTTTGCTGCCTTATTTGTAAAAATAGTAAAGGCGGGAACGTGAATGAACGAAGGAATGAACGAATGAAATGCATCACATTTTCCTCCTTGCTGAGAGCCTCTCACACTGCGACTCCCAGCATCCCCTGCGCCCCACCCTCTTCCGGGCGCATCCGTCCCGGAAGCAAGAAAGCCTTTCCGTCGTCTCTGATTCCGGAAGGATGGGCCAGACCTCCCTTTGGGCTCTTCCGGCCAGGCTCCGCCTTTTCCTCCTCTGGGAACCGCCCCCTGCAGCTCTGCTCTATTTGTCCTGGAAGAAATGCCTCCGCCCCCTCGATTATTTGCATCGCGGCTCCTTCTACGCCATCCCATTGGCGGGTATCGCGTGACCCCGCCCCCTGCTCGACTCTGCCGCGCCCCTATTCCTCGCTCCGAGTTCCTGCTTTCCTCCCGTCTGGGCTCCTCCCCTCGTTTGGCCCCGCCCTTTCGCTGCTGTTCCCTTTCCCCCCTCCCTCCACGGCTCTTCCGCTCTTCCTCCTCGCCGCCCGGCCGGCTCCGCTGGGAGATGGGCTGCCCGGAGGGGCTGCGAGGGACGGGGGTGGATGGAGGCTCCCCTTGCCGGCCTGGGGACCCTTCCCGCCTCCGCTGCAGCCTCCTCTCTCCCCGGAGCTGCTCCTTTTCCCCCGCCTCGATGCCCCTGCTGGGTCCGGGTCTGTCCTGCGCTGGCGTGCAGTCACACGGGCATCTCCGCGTGGCCCCCTTTCCTTCTCTCCTCCTGGGGTTAGGGGGCTTTGCAGCTGGGCCTTATTCGCTGCTGGGTGTCCCTTGGCAACGCCTCCCCCCCCCAGCACCCCCAGTCCAGACGCCCCCAAGCCGCCCGGCTTCCCCCGGAGCCTTGGAGAGCCGTTCTCTCTCCCTGCTGGAAGGAAAGGCGGGCGAGGCTGTTGGGATCCTTATTGCCGGCATCCGAGCCTCTTTCCTTGTGATCATCTTTCCATGTATTGCACGAAATATTACTTGAATTGACCTGCCCCCCCCCCCCGGATTCCCAGGGACTGGGCGTTTTGCAAAGGAGTTGAGACGATGGTTATAAATTGCTCTGATGACTTTTGAATCCACTCCACCCTGGAGGCAAGGCTGCCGGTTAATGGATCCCCCTGGGAACAGATCTCTTCCCGCTCCCGCATCTTCTGGGCTTGCCCTTCCTNCCCGTTTCATTTAATACTGCCTCCCTCCTGGCCCCCCATCTCAGGCCAGCCTCCTCCCCTCTGCCCCCTAACCGCCCCCCCCCCCGCCTTAAATATCTCCCAGGATTATATCCTTTCCTGGCAGGGGAGACGCTCCAGCCCTCTGAGCCTTGGAGGGTCCCCCGCAAACAGGCTGTTGCCTTCTGGGCCTAGTTCTCAGTTACTTTTCAGAATGATTTCGGGGCCTCTTAGAGGGCATCGAGCCATAAAATAGGAAAATTTCAGGAAAACAGCCTTTTTGAGAAAATATACTGGAACGGCGTCTATAAAATGTCAAAATCCAGAAGCTGGGCCACTGGGCTGTCAGCCCCCCCCCCTTGGGATTCAGTTCCTAGTACTGAGGGAAGGCTTTTAAGGGCTGTTTGGGAGGGGCAGCGTGAAGGCGGCAAAGGTGCCTGGTTGAATCATGGCATTCCGAAATGGGAAGCCGCCATTAAAGGCAGTTCTCAAAAATCTGCTGGAGAAATTCCGCAGCACTGAGGCTCTCTTTTGGCACCCCTGCAGGAGGAGGGGCAACAAGGGTTGTTGTTACCCAATGGTGCCATCCCCTGCTCCACTTCACCCCTTAAAACATGTCATTGTGTGGATGATGTCACTGCATTCGTATCACATCACAAATGATTCCATTGTTGCAGTAGCATAAATTATGCAATTGAGCCGTCAATCGTCACATAGAGATAACCCACGTATGCACACCATTCAAAAAAGATAATAAAAGGCTAAGGAAGAAACAAAAAGACCAGAATACATCTTTTCCAGCAGTCAACACCCAGATAAGCAAGGAGTAACACCGGACAAAAAAGCCAGCAGAAAACAACAATCAAGCAAGTATCAAGAAGAGGACCGCAACCCCAAAACAACAATGGCAGGGCAAGCTTGGTGCTTGCTTGCAGATGTTTTGGTGACAAAACATCTGCAAGCAAACCAACAAGTTCAGAGTTACTGTGTATAAACAGGGAGCGAGCCACCCACTCACTAGCACTGACTGTGTTACCTAGTTGGGTCACAAAATATCTGCAAGCAAACGATCATCCTGAGACAACAGCAAGGATTTTACAGTTCACCTGAGCTACAGAAATTATTTTATGGGGATTATGCAACTTAGCTGCCTTACTCACAGGATGATGTCACAATGCGAAGACCATCCACGGCTACTCAATTCACCACCCTGAGTCATAATGGAGTTGGGTGACTTAGCAACGTGTAAACAGAAGCCAGGGCTGCTGCCTAACTCATCAATCCCCAACAGCGTCTCTTTCGGAGCAAGTAGTGGGACCAAGAGTGGAATGGGAGGCTTTTGGTCCCTGCTTGTGACACCTCAACCAAGGGCCTGTCAAAGAGGAAAGAAAGACTAGAGCTGACACGAGAGCAGTTTTCCAGTATTTGAGGGGCTGCCACAAAGAAGAGGGGGTCAAACTATTCTCCAAAGCACCAGAAGGGAAGACAATAAACAATGGTTGGAAAGTAATCAAGGGGAGAAGCAACCTGGAATTAAGGAGAAACTTCCTGACAGTGAGGACAATTAACCAGTGGAACAGAAGTTGCCTTCAGAAGTGCTTCATCCCTGGAGGTTTTTAAGAAGAGACTGGACAGCCACTTATCTGAAATAGTATGTGGTCTCCTGCTTGAGAAGTGGGTTGGACTAGAAGACCTCCAAGATCCCTTCCAGCTCTATTCTGATTAAAGCCACCCTGAGCCACTGAAAGCTGGGCTGCGTGAGTTTCCCATCTCCAGATCTGCAGTGTGACTACGGACAGAACCCACTGGGCAGTTTGCCCGTCCTCCTCTTCCTCTCGTCCAAGCATCCAAAATGCCAACTTCGGGCAGGTCAGGCACGTACGTGTTTTTTCTACACACGGCTCCCAGGAGTGAAAACATGAATTGGAGGCTTCTGAACTGCCAGTCTCCCCAAACAGCCCTGCGAGGCTCCGTCTGTTCTCCCTCCCTGATTTTAAGGGGGGGGAGGGCTTTCCAAAGGTATTATTGGCCTGGCATGGCTAGTGTGCATAAATGCAAGGCCAGATCATCATTGTCAGCACCTCTTGATATTTAAAGGCAAGCAGGAAGTCCAATTTCAAAATGCAAGTCACGTTTTTGAAGGGCTGCTGACTCTGGGCTGCCCTCTCCATTTTGTAGCGAGCGTCTCCTAGGATTAGGGAGGACAATACAGGGGTGAAAACACTACATTCTTTTCATGGAAATGGGAGAAATGTGCTCCAGAAAAACGTCCATCTTTCGTTCCTTATTGATGTTAAAAGCCCGGGCTCATCCTTTTTTTCTTTTATGGATTGGGGTCACATAAGCATCCGTATAACCTCTAAATTAGCAAAGCTTTTTAAACTTGACAAACTCATCTAGCCATAGGACTCCCCAGATCATGACAAACCTAACCAAGTTTAAAAATAATCCCAAACGGTCAGTTTTCCACGTTGGGTGATCTCCATCACAGGAGCATAGCTACAATATCTCTGTCTGCTCAGCTGAAATAAAGTGATTCTGGAAAATAGGCTTTCATAGAGTCATAGGACTGGAAGGGGCCTCCAAAGTCCTCTAGCCCGCCCTCTTGCTCAAGGCAGAAGCTTATATCATCCCGCTCAAATGGCTATTCAGTACATTTTTGAGAATCTCCAGTGATGGAGCAGGCAGAATCCCAAGGAGGCAAGCTATCCCATGGATTAATTGTTCCGTCAGAAAATGTCTCTTCACTTCTAGGTTGGATCTCTTTTAACAAGCTTCTAGGAAACCACAGACCTATCAACCTGACATCAGTACCTGGAAAGATTCTGGAAAAGATGATCAAGAGACGAATCTGCAAACACCTAGAGGCAAGCCAAGTTATAACTAGAAGCCAGCATGGATTGGTCAAAAACAGATCACGCCAGACAAATCTTTTTGCATTCTTTGACAAAGTGGATATATTACTGGAGAAGCAAAATGCTGTGGACATAATTTACTTTGACTTCAGTAAGGCATTTGGTAAAGTACACCACGACCTACTACTTGATAAGATAGAAAGAGGTGGATTAGAGAGTTTTAGTGGTCTACATTCATGAAGGATATCCGCAAAATACATCAAAATATCATAAAGGATATCCACAAAATACATCAAAATATCATAAAGGATATCTGCAAAATACATTGCAGCAGCAAGCCGGGTTGGGTCAGCCCTCCCCCCCATAGTAGTTCCATCAGCGCCCCCCAAACCCAGCTTCTCCCTTCTTGCCTCCCCTTTCCACCTTCTTTCCCAAGGACCCTGTCAAGTGTCCTGCTGTCAAATGACTATGAGGGAGGGGGATAAATGGGCAATAAACCTATTGTGGGAATTAGTGTGTGTATGTGTGTGGGGGAAATGACAGCTGAGGAAGAGCAGATCAACATGGAACCCATTTGTGCCAGGCATCTTCAAGGAAGTTTACCGAGTATGGAAATTTACCAGCCCAAACACCTCGGCGTTCCCAAAACATCTCGGCGGCATCACATTGGCTGGATTTGGACTGGTCATGGGGGGAGGAACGGGCAATGAGTTTTGTTGTGTGGGACACTTAGATTCCGCCTCCAGCCACAGTGGCTGACGGAGCAACCACGTCTGCCACCGAAGACGGGACCGTGGCTAGCCCCACAGCGGCAGCAATCTCTGTGGCCCCAGCACCAGGAGTGGCATCTCAAACCGCACTCCCTGCGGGATTAGCATGGGTGAAGAGGGATCATAAGAGACAACCGGTGGGCATGAAATTTAACAGGGACCCCCAGCAACTGGGATTCTTCTTGGCCCAAGTTTGGACCTATGTGCAGGAGTATGGTCCAGAAAGTGAGATGGGTCACCATGGCCCTGGAAGGGGCCACTTCGCAGTGGACAGTCTCTCTCCCCAGTGAGGATACCCGAGAGCTGAGAAACTTCAACCGCTTTATGGCGGTGCTCTGCAAGCGGTTTAAGGCCCCCTGGCCAGCCATCAAGCTAGAGATCGCATCAAGAGTACGTCCAGGAGTTCCGCGACTGGCTTGCAGGTTCACTGACTGCCGCAGGGAAAATAAGTTTTTAGAAATTTTTATTCTTAACCAACAAAAAAATCATGGGCATAAGTCATAGTGACTTGCAAAATATGTCATAGGTTTGACTTATGCCCACAGAACACTCAAACTATCTATCTATCAAATATAAATCATACGAAATACTAGAAGAAAAAGTAAAGGGTCTAGGGGACTATAAAGCACTGTGAATTGGTATATAAGTCTAATTATTATCATTAATTCTGTTGCTTTGTGTGTACACTGAGAGCTGTTGCCCCGGACCAAACCCCTTGTCTGCCTAATCACACTTGGGTAAACAAATTATTCCACTGATTTAATTCTATTGAGTTCAATTCAATTACTGAGACATGTATCATGACTGAAGGTCTTTCCACACTCAGGCATATTTAGCGGTTTTCCCCCATTTGAATCTTTTGATGTTGATGAAGGTGTACAGCCAGCTTCTCCCGGGCTGAGAGAGGATCCTGAGCTGGCAGTTTCAGAGGCTTTTGAACTTCTATGTCCCCCACCTCCCCAAAAGCCACTTTTATACGATTTGAAATCATTTTAATGTTCCGGTTGTTTCTGCACTCAAGGCATGTTTAGATGTAGGCAGGAAGCTCTCTTCTCAGCTAACAGAACAAGAGAGCTAGAAGGGACCTTGGAGGTCTTCTAGTCTAACCCCCTCCTCCAGCAGGAGACCCTCTATGATTCCAGAAAGTGGGAATATGCTGCGTCTGGAGGAGCTGGGAGTCTCTTTATTGGCTTCTGTGTTGTGTTCTGCTTTTTATTAAAGTGTGAGGTTGTAGAAATGTAATGCACGCCTACATACCCCTGGCTCGCACCTGTTATTTGGTAGAATACGCCTAATATTTCTATCATCACTTCCGAGCAAAGAGAAGGGCTGACTTTAATAAGCAGTGGAAGAACTGCTATTCACTATTCTCTGAAGCTCACTAGACCCTTTAACTTCATAAGCCTGTCCATGGAGGGCTTAAAGGCACAAAGACTGACTATTTTTGGTGGGCTTCTGCTTTGGGCTTGTAAGGAACTGGCTCAGCTGGTCCCTCAGCAAAGGAAGACTCTGAATCCATCCAGTTGCATCAAAAGAACTTTTACGGAGCAAGGGGAGGGAGGACAAGGTGAACTCTGAAAAGGCCGTGCAGAGCAGTCGTCTCTGGGTGACTGAAAATTTTAGGCATAATACAGGTAGTCCTCGACTTACAACAGTTCATTTAATGACCGTTCAAAGTTACAACGGCACTGAAAAAAAGGATTATGACCATTTTTCACATTTACAGCCGTTGCGGGGTCCCCATGGTCAGGTGATCAAAAATTGCAATGCCTAGCAACTGACTCATATTTATGACGGTGGCAGTGCCTGGAGAGGGTCACGTGATCCGCTTTTGTGACCTTCTGACGAGCAAAGTCAATGGGGAAGCCAGGGTCGCTTAACAACTGTGTTACCGACTTAACCACTGCAGGGATTCACTTAGCAACAGTGGCAAGAAAGGTCGTAAAATGGGGCAAAATTCACTTAACAAATGTCTAACTTAGCAACAGAAATTGTCCAGTGGTGCATCACGTGATCCTAGGTCCTACATCCACGCCGGTTGCCAAGTGCCTGAAATTTGGATTATGTGACCGATGAGGGTGCTGTGATGGTCGTAACTGCAAGGACTGGCTATAAGTCCCTTCTTTCAATGCTGTTGCGACTTTTAATATTTATTCTCAGTCGAGAATAACCTGCGGCAGGTAAAATGAACCTGGCACCCTTTGGTAGGCTGGCTTACTACCCCGATGGTGGTAAAAATCCCATAATATTGAGCATAACTATTTGAAAGAGCATTTTATTAAAAGGAGAACATTTGCATGGGAAAAGGCATCACGAATCACATAAAAACGAACAGTGAAGTTTTATTCACTTGAAAAGGGAAAGCCATAATCTAGCAGGGCAATTGAGGATGAATTGTAATGTTGGCTGCGAAATGTTGCCAGATGGGCTGTTTTTCTACCTGACTGGATTAGTTTTGGAGCTTTCTTGCAGGAAAGCTGGGGCCTTGGTGGGTTCATTTGGGGGGGGGAGAGGCTGTTTTGGCCTATTTTTAAGGGGGTTAAGTTTTAGGGCAGTATATCAAACTATCATGAAGGATATCTGCAAAATACATTGCAGAAGCAGGCAGGGCTGGGTCAGCCGTCCAAACGTCCTGCCGTCAAATGTCTAGGAGAGGGGGGGAAATGGGCAAGAAACCTGCTGTGGGAATTAGTGGCGGGAGGGAATGATAGCTGAGGAAGAGCAGATCAACATGGAACCAGTTTGTGCCATGCATCTTCAAGGGCGTTTACAAGTATCATGACTGAAGGTCTTTCCACACTCAGGCATATTTAGCGTTTTTCCCCTATGGGAATCTTTTGATGTCAATGAAGGTGTACACCGTCGGAAAAGCTCTTTCCACACTCAAGGCGTTTCTACGGTTTTTCTCCTGAATGGATTCTTTGATGCTTAGAAAGCCTTCCCTTCTCACAGAAACTCTTTCCACTCTCCAGACATTTCTGTGGTTTTTCTCTAGTGTGGATCCTTTGATGTCTGCGGAACTGTCCACTCACAGTAAAGCTCTTTCCACAATCCAAGCATTCTTATGGTTTTTCTCCTGTGTGGATCCCTTGATGGGTATAAAGGCTGCTCCTCTGAGTGAAGCTCTTTCCACACTCCAGGCATTTATGTGGTTTTTCTCCAGTGTGGATCCTTTGATGTCTATAAAGGTATCCCCTCTGGCTGAAGCTCTTTCCACATTCCAGACATTTAAATGGTTTCTCTCCTGAGTGGATCCTTTGATGTATATAAAGGCTGCTGCTCTGAGTGAAGCTCTTTCCACACTCCAAGCATTTATGTGGTTTTTCTCCAGTGTGGATCCTTTGATGTCTGCGGAGCTGTCCACTCACAGTAAAGCACTTTCCACATTCCAGGCATTTAAATGGTTTCTCTCCTGAGTGGATCCTTTGATGTTGATAAAGGCTGCTGCTCTGACTGAAGCTCTTTCCACACTCCAGGCATTTATGTGGTTTTTCTCCAGTGTGGATCCTTTGATGTGTATAAAGGCTTCCCCTTACATTGAAGCTCTTTCCACACTCCAGGCATTTAAATGGTTTCTCTCCTGAGTGGATCCTTTCATGTTTATAAAGGTCTCCCCTCAGACTGAAGCTCTTTCCACATTCCAGACATTTAAATGGTTTCTCTCCTGAGTGGATCCTTTGATGCATATAAAGGCTGCTCCTCTGAGTGAAGCTCTTTCCACACTCCAGGCATTTAAATGGTTTCTCTCCTGTGTGGATCCATTGATGGGTATAAAGGTGTGCCCTCAGACTGAAGCTCTTTCCACATTCCAGGCATTTAAATGGTTTCTCTCCTGAGTGGATCCTTTGATGTATATAAAGGCTGCTGCTCTGAGTGAAGCTCTTTCCACACTCCAGGCATTTATGTGGTTTTTCTCCAGTGTGGATCCTTTGATGTCTGCGGAGCTCTCCACTCACAGTAAAGCACTTTCCACATTCCAGGCATTTAAATGGTTTCTCTCCTGAGTGGATCCTTTGATGTATATAAAGGCTGCTGCTCTGACTGAAGCTCTTTCCACACTCCAGGCATTTAAATGGTTTCTCTCCTGTGTGGATCCTTTGATGTGTATAAAGGTGTGCACTCAGACGGAAGCTCTTTCCACATTCCAGGCATTTAAATGGTTTCTCTCCTGAGTGGATCCTTTCATGTTTACAAAGGTTTCCCCTCAGACGGAAGCTCTTTCCACATTCCAGACATTTAAATGGTTTCTCTCCTGAGTGGATCCTTTGATGTTTATAAAGGTTTCCCCTCCGACTGAAGCTCTTTCCACATTCCAGACATTTAAATGGTTTCTCTCCTGAGTGGATCCTTTGATGTTTATAAAGGTTTCCCCTCAGACTGAATCTCTTTCCACACTCCAGGCATTTATGCGGTTTTTCTCCTGTGTGGATCGTTTGATGTCTATAAAGGCTGCTCCTTTGATTGAATCTCTTTCCACACTCCAGGCATCCATAAGGTTTCTCTCCAGTGTGGATTCTTAGATGCATTTTAAGATCTCCATTTCTTTTGAAGGATTTTCCACATTCTTCGCATTCATATTTCTCTCCTCCCTCCTGGATTCTCTGGGGATTCCCGGGTCTTCCGCCTCTTCTGAAGGACCCTCCGCCCTCCAGGACCGTCTCGGGGTCTCCGCCCGTTTCCTGCTCCCCGCTTCTCCCTCCAGGCGGCCTCCTTTCCCGGAGTCTCCTTCGGTTCATCCCTGCCGGGCCTTCCCCGCCGTCTCCTCCCGGGGAGCGTCCCTTTCCTCCGCAGGGCTCGCCCGTCCTCCTGCAGGAGCAAAGGAGAGGCGGGTCACGGCTCCGTCCCTTTCCCGAGGGGCCCCAGACGCTCCCCGGGGAGGAAGGCCGAAGCCTCCGCCTGTCACGGATCAGACCCACTCCCTCCCTCCCTCCCTCCGAGACCATCTTTGACAGTCTCCCAGCATCCCCTGCGCCAAACCTGCAGCCCGGCTCCTCTCTCACCGATTCCGGAAGCTAGCTCGTTGCCCGTTTTATTTCCGGAAGTGGAGGCGGGACTTATTTTCGCGTCTTTCCCCTAGAAACTCCGCCTGTTCCTCTGGACTAGGCCCCGCCCCAAGGAGGTCCCCTGCCAATCGCCGTGCTCCCCCGATCGACCAATCTGAGTCCTCTTTCTTCAGCCAGGCAGATGGCGCCTGCGCGTTGATGCGCGGCGTCCTGTTCCCAGAGCGGAGGGGAGAGGAGGGGCTCCGCTTGAACTTTGGGGTCCGCTCTTCCCCCCCCTCGCACCGCATCCAGGCAGGCGCAGCTGGGGGGCCCTTCCGGGGCTGCGTCTCCGCCCCTCCCTCATCCGGGCTCTCTCCCTTTGCAGGGCGGGGGTGGGGGAGCTGCGGGGGGCTTCCCCCCTTCGTTCTCCTGGGGGGCTCCGGCCAGGCTCCCCCCGAGGCCTCCAGGCAGCCGGGCCTCCTCTCTGCGCCTCCTGGACCCCGAAATGCCGCCCCCGCCCCCCTTTCCCGCCTCCTCCCCGGGACCCCTTTGCCAGACTGCAGCGGGGGGTGAATCCCCTCCAGGACCCCCCCTTAATATCTGGGCCTCTCTGACCTCTGGGCGTCCTGAGGTCGAAGCCTCCAGAAAGGCTTTCCCCCCCATGCGCCCCTTTGTCCCCGGGGAGCCTGGCCCGAGACCCTCGGCCTTGGGGGGCTCTCCGTGCTTCCTACGCCCCCCCCCAAAGGCTGGAGGGGTTCCTGCTCCTCTCTCAGCCTCCAGCCAGCTTCTCCCGGGCTGAGAGAGGATCCTGAGCTGGCAGTTTCAGAGGCTTTTGAACTTCTATGTCCCCCACCTCCCCCAAAGCCCCTTTTCTAAGATGTGAAATCATTTTAATGTTCCTGTTGTTTCTGCACTCAATACCTCAGGTAATCTGATGCTGGAGCCCAGTGACCTTCTCCAGGCATGTTTAGATGTAGGCAGGAAGCTCTCTTCTCAGCTAACAGAACAACAGAGCTGGAAGGGACCTTGGAGGTCTTCTAGTCCAACCCCCTCCTCCAGCAGGAGACCCTCTGATTCCAGAAAGTGGGAATATGCTGCGTCTGGAGGAGCTGGGAGTCTCTTT